AAATGCTGCATTTCGAGATGCGATGTCCTAAGTAATCGATCGGCCTACCTGCTCGAACAAGTACACAAAGAAGGAGACTGTTTGCATCAACGAGGATGAGTCGATTACAGTGACAACATCCAAGAAATGCAGAAGTGGCGTTCAGTGAAAAGCAAAGGTAACAATACTACTGCAGCGACAGTAATGTTTATATATGTTCTATTCAGTAGTCTTATTGTTGCAGAAGAAACCTGGAGCAGAAAGAAGTCGGTTTGCAACCGCGGATCGGTTACTTAAACTACTCGCTCTCTGAAGTGTGTGCTAGAACAATGACATGCGTAGCGCATGCTGAGAACGGCTGTGCTCCACGATTAAAAATAGCATGCTCAATTAAATTGACCTCCATGTTCCTTTAGATTAACTAAATAGAATCGTTGAGCATTCTACATGACTCGTGTGCTAGCGCTCCAGGTCACAAATAAGTCCAGGACGGATCGTTGGATAAATTTCCGAAGACAAGTAGGGTTCATCAAGAGCACCCCAGTTGGATGGCAGTTCTCCTCCTGGCTTTTTCATCCACGGAATCTCCTGACGTAGGCGTTAAGTGCTCGTTTGAAAATAACTAATTCATCTAGATGATGCCAATCGCACCCAGTTGACGCTTGACAATCGTGAGGTGTCACAGTCAGTTTTAGAAAAGTAATTCCGACTGACTTCGTCCCTCAGTTGACTGACTATACGGACCGAGATGCCAAATGCAGTTGCAAAATCGTCAGCTGATTGTCGTCTAGATGCTAAACCAGAGACGACTGCGTGCTAGTTGGTAAAGGTCAGGTGGTTGACCAGTTAAGTGGATAAACAACAGATGAATTGTGTCCGTCACATATACTGGCGGCCCACCGTCGTCGTGTTCCTCGATATCAAACGTGCATTCGATTCGGTGGATAGACATGCACTTTGGGACTGTCTACTCAGGACAGGTGTACCTGAGAAATATGTGCATATTATCCGAACATTATATGCTCGTAGCTCGGGCAGAGTGAGGGCTTACGGCAAGTTGTCGTCGCCCTTTAATATCTCCAGCGGCGTGAGACAAGGATGCCGGCTGTCACCTTTCCTCTTCAACTTCGCTGTTGATGAAGTCATGGAAATCGCGTTCACAGGACACGACTTAGAAGGTGTGGAGCTACTCCCAGGAGAACGACTTCTTGATTTAGAGTATGCTGATGATATTGCCCTCATCTGTGACAGCTCCCAGGGGTGCCAAGCGGCACTGGACAGATTAGCACTAGCTGTCAGCCGCTTCGGGCTTTGCTTCGCACCCTCGAAGTGCAAAGCGTTTCTTCAAGATTGGTCTGGACCGCCCCCTGTTCTGACCCTTGGTGGGGATCAGCTAGAAGTCGTTCAAAAATTCAACTATCTGGGAAGTTGTATCAGCGCCCGTGGGATTGAAGATGAAATCACGAACCGGACAGCAAAAGCTCGGGGCACTTTTGCTAACCTTCGCCACTTATGGCGCCGGTGCGACATCACTCTCACCCTGAAGGGTAGAGTGTACAATGCAGCAGTACGTTCGATCCTACTGTACGGTTGTGCAACTTGGCCACTAAGATCGGCGGACCTGAAGAGGCTAGTTACGTTCGACCACCGGTGCCTTCGTAATTTAGCTCACCTTTGGTGGGAACACCGCGTGAATAACGAGCGTGTTCGACATCTTGTTTATGGCACAGGAATAGGAAATGAACCGCTCAGCACCGTTATTTCACGCATCAGGCTCCGATGGCTCGGCCACGTGTTACGCATGCCAGCCCACCGACTTCCGCGACGTGTGTTGTTTGCGCGCCGGGGGTGTGGATGGAAGAAGAGGAGGGGTGGCCAAGCGATGAGTTGGTCCAGAAGAATGAAGGCCCTCACTTCTGAGCTGGCCTCGGTTGGAGCGTCTCGGCTCCCTGGTTGGGGTCCGAAAGACCATGAACACGTTTGGTTGGACACACTTGCTGATATGGCTAGGAGCCGACCTCAGTGGCGTTAGTGCTGTGAGTTTCTTTGTCCCACCCCATCCCTCTTAGCCTCCCCTCCAACCCCGATCTCATTACTTAGCCTTATATAATTTTGCATAATAATTTTTTTTGGTGCACAGCAGCCGGCTGGTAGCTTACCGGAACGATGCCCATCCGTTACCGGTAGCTCAGCCAGCTTTCACCAGTTGTTTTTTTCTCTCCTTTTTTCTTTGTATTGCGGCACAGTAGCTGAGGTGTTTCCCACCTCTAGCTAATGTGTATGATGATGATGATGATGAATTGTGTTGGTTGGGGAGAATACGTGTTGTTCACCGTTCACTGAACGAGTCTAGGTCTAGTTAACTGATGTGTGACGTAAATTTCAATGGAGGTGAACATGGACTTTGTAGCTAGAAGTTGGTGTGCTGACTACCGTACTCGGGCCCTTTGGTCACTCTCGTCTTTCAGTTCTGACCTCACAGAACAATCGACAACCACCGGTGGTGTATTTGCAACCACCAATCGGCCTGTTTTGCCGTGGTGTGAAGGAAGCACACATAAGTGGTGCATGTCGCGAGGAGGCTGTACCCTAGGCACCGCCTTAGCACCACACAATGACCACCTGTTTGTGACTGTGCGGTGTTGTAAAGATGTAGACGTTTTGATTATCAACGTTTGGCTGGTCGATGTAGATAACACACACACACACACACTTTGTTTCAGAAAACTTGGTAGACGACCGGTTAATATATTTATGATGATATGATGTATCATCAAGAATATTTTAACTGGCTGTCCACCAAGTTTTCTGAAACGATGACTTCCCGATCGGTTCCAAATATGTTCCAAGATATCGAGGACACACACTGTATTCGTAAGATAAATTATCTTAAGTAGTTGTGTGACAGTGAAGCACGAGTATAAAATACTGGCGTTCTTCTACCGACACCGCCGACTGTCCATTCGAGCGAAGTAACCCGATGTGAAACATGTGATCAGAGGTTCTGTAGTAGTTATGTTTTAGTAAATAGCTAACACAATCACTGCTATCCTTAACACACGCATCAAGCGCTAAGTCGGTTTCTTCCTCGTAATGTGGTGAGGATAGACACCCAAAATTTCGTTTTAGGTCGCTATCATGGATCAAGGTAGACGTGCATCAAATCAAAAAGACGATGATCTCGTCTTAGGTAACTGCCTCGGTAGTGAACTGTATCCGTCGATAACCCTGAGGAGGCCTAGAATTTCAAAACGCACACAAGTGGATCACCTGGGGACACAGAAAATCAGTTTCAGATTTTTTCTGATTGAACCATTGTAAGCATGAATATCGGAAGTCGATGACTCGGTAGCCAAAGAGACGATCAATCTACAGCGCTTCCTACTGACCTCATCACTGTCTTGTAGGTGGGCCTCGGCGTCAACTCAAGGCAGTTCCAAGAGGAACTACAGTTAGATCAGAAGTCAGTGTAAGCGAACATATGCTTTCGATCAGTCTTCATCTGGCTTCTACAGTTATATATAAATAAAAACAAAATGGTTGGACAGACATTACTAGTCGTTAGTTTAGAAGCGAGTTAAATACTGATAGCTAATCCAATTATGCGTAGTTCCAAGCCTACATGTGACGTTTATTTCGGTGAGGCGCAGCTATAACATGGTGCACATGAGCTCAAAACTACGGACCGGATTCCAATTCCATGCAAGAAGGGTGAATATCCAGCAGGTATACACATGCCTTCGGTATTGTAAGAAGAAGAAAACTTAAAACAGCTAATTCAAAAGTCAGCTAGTAGATCGCACGGAAGTAATATAAAAATGTCATGCGAACTTGCTAGTAAACTCCAGAACGACTGTTTGGTTGCGCATAAAGCACACCAAAGATGACATGATAGATGAGTAGCAAGCATGTGAACGAGAAAAATAGAGTTGTACTTTTGTCCGGTTGATAAAGTTGGTATGCAGGAAGACAGCGTACCATGAAGAGGGTGACCTACATCGGTGAGTACTTATAAAGCAAGCCTTCTGCATGGACTGGTATGAGTGGTCGGATTTGGAAGGACACTACATCAAGAAAGCTGCTTCAATGACCTATATAATACGTTTAAATGCTTGCTTAGTAAACCAGGACATATTACGGGGAAGCAACAGGTCTAGTGGGGTAATACACAGTGGTGAAAAATAACGACATTAGGCAGCGCGGGACAGAGGATCATCGCAGATGAGCAGCATAAAAGGGAAACCTCCCGACTTTTGTGAACACTTCCTTTACACGGAGTCAATAAGAGGAATTATGAGAAGAAATGATATAATACTCTGGCCCCTATTACTCGCGTGGACTTAGTATTTTACTAACACTACATTTGAACTTGCAGATAAAGAAAATGTCTGTGTCCATTATCACGATAAAATAGGCCGGGTTGATACACTCTTTGTTTTTAGTGAAGCTAGTCACAGTTATTAAGGAGAACAAAACCTACTGCGTGCGCACTGATTAGTAGTAGTCAGAAATTAAGTTATCTGGTGTCGTTCGGAAGAGATTATTGCAGTTTTGCCGTATCTTAACCGTTAGCTTTCGCTGTAAAAATACTGACTGAAGATAATAAGCTTCTGACCAGTGCACGTCTATTCACAATATCAGGTGCGCAGCCAGTTGTTACCGCTGATCACTTCCAGTAAATGTGGCTGTGTGACCGTGACGCAGCACAGCAGGTACCCGTGTACATACGAGAATGAAAGTGTGACTTGCAACAATCACAACAAAACTGGTTTCTGCATGCTGATAACAGTCAGCAATTAAGGAAACTATGATGGAAAATCAAGTATCTTTCACTGATATCAATGGGTAAAAAAGGAACTAGATGGATGTAGCCTCCGATGAAAGTGGTGTACATGTTAACTTCACGGACTGTCATGCGGCTTCACACATTCCGTTGTCGGACAGAATACAAGTTAGAGGGAGAGAGGGTTGTTGTCGAGGAGGTTGGCTAAAGTCTTTCAACACGGCGCCGAATAACTCACTGATTTCAAAGGCTTGCGTAGGTTAAACATTTCCGCATACCGTCCCATAGTTTGCCATGGTGCGTAAAGTTTAACGAAAACGAGATCGTTCGGTCCAAGGTTCAACTCATCTTCTTGTGCTTGAATTCGGTAACGGTCCATCGCAGAGGGTGGCTCACTGATGGCCTCATGCCTAACTGCAGATGGGTTTCGAGGCTCTGAAGGCTCTGGTGGATGGACTGACGCTTTCAAAGCGACCGAAAGGGAGGCTTCAATATCTGGCTCCAATGGAGCCGTGTCGGTGGCCATTCCAGTTCGACCCAATACATTTCCGGAGCAATCTTCAACCTATGGAATATTCAAAAATGGTGCACAGGATATAACATGCGGAGGCATAAAAGAGATAAGTAGGGCAGAATGTAAAGCAAAAATAGTGCAGACATGGTTACCTCTATTTCGATCATTTCTTCAGCTAGGCCTGTAAGAAACGCTTCGCGCTTCGAAGCGTTTTCAGCACTCGGATCGAGTTGACTGTATACCAGAACGAAATCGATTCGGCGTTTACCATCTTGAAAGTAAAGGTCCGGATTAGTCTGGATAAAGACAAAAGAAGTTAAAGTTGGACCAGAATAATGATCTTGGAAGCGTAATCCACGTTTGTAAGATTCATGCTGGCTCATAGGCCGCCACAAAATAGGTGCGTGTTGCAAGCATCATGTGATGCACACAAGGAGGATTTATAAACAGGTCATAAGAACTAGATTAAAGGCTAACTAAAGCAAGTTACACAGGTTTGAGAGGCGGGATTCTAATAAAGCTGGAAATTCCAAACGCGACAATAATAACCAATTGGAGTAAACGAACTGGATCGAAAAGGTAAACTAGGAAAATAACTGGAGAGAAATCCACGGACTTCGTCAACAGCCAAAGTAGGTGTAGTCGAGTGTCTCCGCTGGCGGCTTGACAACGTTGGGCTGCAGTACAACTATGCTCTCATCGTTGTCTGGCTGAATGAAAGTTCGGGACATCATTGTTATAAGTCAATACCACGATATCATAACAATGAGCAAATGTGTTATGGGTACAATAGCAATGCTCAAGGTGTGAGATAAAGAAGTTGGACAAGTGAGTATGATGATAAAGTGACAAGCGTTTTGGCGGATTCATCAGTATTCACACTTGGACGTGTGTAAAAGAACCGAGATGTTCATATGATAAAACTATAAACCCAGCTGGATGGGATTTTGAAAACACACAGTTGGTTTGTTATATGGACTTTAGGTTAATATAAGTAGTAAAAGAAATTGCGAGTAGAACAAGGATCCGTCAAGTCGTTTTTTAATATTGTCAGTTTGGAGGCAGAGACCACATAAGTTTGGAGAGCGTTAAACTGCTGACACACTCGAAGGGAGAGGAAACATCGATAACATTCCAGCGTGCCATAATGCAATATCAGCTCTGACCGAGGACCTCTTAGGTTGGTTTTGTGGTTCAATTCCAGCAGCGGGCGGCAAACGTGGTTTGGGCTCTTCAGTACCACATAAATCATTATTAGGTCCTGCAAACGCCGAAATTGACTGCTGTACATTCCTAGGGAATTCAATCTAAGCTGATAGGACATATGGAAGAGGCCCTTAACGTTATTGGCTGCTCTTCGCTGAAGAAGCGCGAGAACAGAGAAATCCTGTTTCTTCTGCGGCTGTCACGCATGGATGGCGTATTCCATGTGCAGTCGCACGCAGGTGTTAAACATTAGTGGGAAGATTGTGGGGTCAAACCGATTGAACGCTCCGCGAAGAAGGCCATAGGGCTGATAAGCGATTCTTGACGCCTTCTCCGCTTCATCCGATCATCCGAGATGGTCCTGAGCCAGCATACCAAGGTCACGTTGCTGAGCTTTTTGTAAGATGTGGCCTTCAAGCTGGAAAACGCTTACCGACTGATGACGCAGATGGACCACCTTGCACTTAAATATGTTGAACTGGAGTAGGTTTCTTGGTAACCACGTATGAGCGCAATCCAGGTCATGTTGGAGTAGCTATGAATCGTTTGTTATACCATAACTTCGTTGGAGAAAATCAGGAAGATAGAGGCGCTACATCTCGCCAAGTAGTTGATAAATATTAGAAAAAAGCGCGGTTCCAGCACCGAGCCCTGTGGAACACCGTATTCCATCTCAAGCGTGTTGCAGAGTGATCCCCTGGTACGCACTTGAAGCCTCTTTTGGTGAAGCAAGCTGGTACTCCGACAAAAGACAGGATCACTGATACGGTAACTCTGTAGCCTGTGATGTAGGATGCGGGGAACCAGGAACTCGAAAACTTGGAAAAGCCCAGGTAGAAGATTTTGATTGCGGCCCCATCACCATCATCATCATCATCATCATCATCACCACCATCGTCATCATCATCATCATCATCATCATTATACATGTCAGCTAGAGGTGGTAAAACACCTCCGCTATTGTACCGCACTACATAAAGGAAATACATACATACATACAATACGTAAAGGAAAAATAAATACGACAGTTGCATGCCAGCTGAGCTACCAGCAACGGATAGGCATCGTTCCGGTAAGCTACCAGCCGGCTACTAGGCAAAAACAAAAAATTTAATTATGTTTTACCCCACGAAATAAGATCGTAGATGGAGGGGTAGGCTAAAAGGGATGGGGTGGGACAAAGAAACTCACAGCATGAACGCCACTGAGGTCGGCTCCTTGCCATGTCAGCAAGTGTATCCAGCCAAACGTGTTCACTAACTTTTGGACCCCAACCAGGGAGCCGTGAAGCTCCAGCCGAGGCTAGCTCAGAAGTGAGGGACCTCTGGACCAAGTCATCGCTTGGCCACCCCTCCTCTTCTTCCACCCACATCCCCAATGAGCAAACAACGCATGTCAAGGAAGTCGGTGAGCTGGCATGCGCAACACGTGGCCAAGCCATCGGAGCCTGGTGCATGAAATAACGGTGCTGAGCGGTTCCTTTCCTATTCTTGTGCCGTAAACAAGATGTCGAACACGCTCGTTACTCACGCGGTGTTCCCACCAGATGTGAGCCAAACTGCGAAGGCACCGATGGTCGAACGTAAGTAGCCTCTACATGTCCGTCGATCTTAGGGGCCAGGTTTCACAACCGTACAATAGGGTCGTACGTACTGCTGCATTGTACACTCTACCCTTCAGGGCGAGAGTAATGTCGCGCCGGCGCCATAGGTGGCGAAGGTTAGCAAAAGCACTTCGAGCTTTTGCTACACGGTTCGTGATCTCGTCTTCGATACCAAGGGCGCTGATACAACTTCCCAGGTAATTGAATTTCTGAACGACTTCTAGCTGATCCCCACCAAGGGTCAGCACACGGGGCGATCCCTGCAAATCCTGGAGGAACGCTTTGCACTTCGGTGGTGCAAAGCAAAGCCCGAAGCGGCTGACAGCCAGTGCTAATCTGTCCAGTGCCGCTTGGCACGTCTGGGAGCTGTCACAGATGAGGGTAACGTGGTCTGCATACTCCAAGTCAAGAAGTCGATCTCCTGGGAGTAGCTCCAAACCTTCCAGGTCATGTCCTGTAAATGCAATCTCCATGACTTCGTCAATAGCGAAGTTGAAGAGGAAACGTGACAGCGGGCATCCTTGTCTCACACCACTGGAGATATTAAAGGGTGGCGACAGCTTGCCGTAAGTCCTCACTCTGCCTGTGCTACGCGCATATAATGCTTGGATAATATTTACATATTTCTCGGGCACACCTTTACTGAGTAGGCAATTCCAAAGGGCACATCGATCAACCGAATCGAAGGCACCTTTGATGTCAAGAAACACGACTACGGTGGGCCGCCAATATGTGTGACGGTGCTCCAACAACTGACGTAAGGTGAAGATGTGGTCGATGCAGCCACGACCATGACGAAACCCGGCTTGCTTCTCACGAATCTGGCTTTCACGAATGCCAGTCAGTCTGTGAAGAATTATGGACGCGAGTAATTTGGAGGCGATGGAGATCAGACTGATTCCTCTATGATTGCCGCATTCCGAGCGCGAGCCGCCTTTGAAGATGGGAACAATAACGGAGCGGCTCCAGTCCGTTGGGACAATCTCCTGCTCCCACAGTTTCACTAGTAATTCATGTATAGCATCAACAAGAGCAGAGCCTCCGAATTTGAAAAGAGCTGGAGGAAGATCATCTTGTCCTGCGGCTTTGTTCAACTTCAACAGTCCGATCTCACACGTTCGACTTCTGAGCGAGAGGGTGGATCCAAAGGGACAGCCCACGGAGCAGGGCGATCAGTGACCGTAGAATCGAACAATTCTAGCCGATTAAATTGCTTTTCAAAATGCTCAGCCCAACGTTTCAGACGTTTTGACAAATTGTGGATAGGCTGTCCACTCTCGTCACGTATAGTTTCACTAACACCAGGTCTCCTGTTGCCAGTTTCCCGTATCAGACGGAATAACTTACGATGGTTGCCAACGGCAGCGGCCATTTCCATCTCTGACGCACGATGAGACCACCAAGATTCGCGGTCTCTCTTCAGGCTAGCACGGAGTTTTGCCCGGAGCTCTTTGCGAGTTTCATTGTGCTCGCTTCCAGCCGGGATATGCCGACGAGCGTCGATTAGTTCCAGAGACTGCGAAGAGACCCAATGTCTATGTTGGCTATTAGACATATCACATGAGGATTTGCCTGCTGTTAGTAAGGTCTGGCGAACATGTGACCAGTGGCCATCAATTGTCTCCAGTGAGCGCTTGCTCAACTCGCATGTCAGTGTATTTCGAGACGCATTCAGAACAGCTGGCTTTGTCAGTTGGCTGGTGTCAATACGCTCACAGCGTCCTCGAGGGCGTCCGCCAAAAAGCATCCGCATGTCAGCACATACAAGTGCATGATCGGTGTCCACACATGTGCTCCAAATCGAGCGACAGTTCTGGACACAGCCTCTCCAGCGGTAACTTATCGCAATGTGATCGATCTGCGTGCAAGGCTGGTTCGAGGCTGGTGGGCGCCAAGTCACCCTTCGGCGGGTGCTGTGTCGGAAATTAGTGCACGCAAGAAATAAGCGAGCATCTTCACACAAATGAAGTAACCGCTCACCGTTATCATTACGGGAGCCTACACCGTGTTGACCGCCCAGATGCAGTTCATCAGTGGACAACTTTCCAACTTGTGCGTTCATATCCCCCGCCAGCACAAAAGTGTCCGTGCTTCTTCTGTGGCGAAGGAGCTGGGTCAGTTGGCGGTAGAAGTCGTTCTTTACCGAATCATCGCTACAGTTTGTGGGCGCATAGGCAGCGATGATGAATAGACATCTATTAGTCCCGCGCGACTTCGAAGTTTTGAACGAGCCAGCCAATCGGGCCGCACACATCCGGCTACTGATTGGAATCCAATCAACCAAAGCAGCTTCAGCCCGGGGACTCAGGGCAATGCCAACACCAGCTTGGCCGGTGCTCGAAGCTGCATCGTCACCGGATAGGCGCAAGGAGAAAATACTGCTTGCGTCACCTGAAGGAGATCGCAGAGTGAGCACAGTGCTCGAGTCTAGCAGGCGAGTCTCTGATAAGCAGCAGATATCGATCGAGATGGTCTCCAATGTTCGGGCAAGTGCTGCCTGTTGACCGATTTGTAGCAGTGTGCGTACATTGAGGCATACCAATCTGAAGGAGGATCGGGGGCTCCAAATGGAAGCCGGTGAACTGGATTGGACAGCTTGGTTGGACATGGGCTTGTCGACATGAGAGGAGTGACACTCCGCGTTCACGTGTGAGTTGAAATTAGAAGGTAAATGCCTAGCAAAGCATGTTGGGGGAGGGCCAAGAATCGGGGGCTTGAAAACTGGGGATATATAAGTGAAGTTGGAAGGGGACGGTAAGAGTGAAAAAGCGTAAGAGGGGGAATAAGAAGACGGGAAGGCTTGAGCAGTAGCATCCAAACCCCTATCCACCCTGCTCGATGCAGCAGATAGGGCATCGTTGATTATCCTCTGCGGTGGTCAGAGCATCAAGAAATTGTTTGAAGTAAAATTCATAGTATTGCGTGTCGGCCGGTGGCCGAGTGGTCGGCACGTTTGCTTTCCAACCATAAGGTCACCGGTTCGAATCCGCGTAGGGGTGGGCGTCCTCGCGGTATACTAAGCCCGCGCGCGACTAGTGGTGGTCGCGAGGCAGCGAAGCGCCGTTACGGCGTATAAGCTGACACCATAGTATTGCGTGGGTAGGATACTGTCAGATTGCCCAGGTCTAGACTGGAGAACGATTAGGGTTCTCAACCAAAGCCATTGGTTTAAAAACCTGACCGCAAGGCAGCGGGTTTGGCGTTGGGCTACAAGGAGTCCGTTTTAAGAAATAAAGTGCCACCCTCATTCCAACCCCCAACCTGGAGGACCAGGAGGCTGAGTTTGTCTGGCCTCTAACCATTGACCAATCTGGTATGAGTGACTCTGAAGGTGCAGAAGCACCGCCCAGCATAGCTTAATGGATCGCTGAGGCACACAAACCATCGCACCACGGTAAGGTCCAGCCTCATTGCCCCATCATCGGGCACTTTTGTCCAACTACCACGTGCCATCATCAGATTCGTGGTGCATGAATGATGTTGACGGTAGCCATACCACTCGGGTGCCAAGATGTTGTATTTTTCTTGGTAGTTCACTAAACTCTCAGCGACCACAGCTTCTCGCACCTCCGCGAGCAGGGTGGGGAGTCACTGGGCAATAGTTTGCATGGTCTGAATGGTTAGCGCTTTTAAGAATCGGGGTGATAATCCCCAGATTCCACATAGTGGGGACCAGCATTTCACCGAATCATCCTTGGAAGAACTGTAACAGTGGCTCGACTAGCTTGGTGGCCGCAGCCTTCAGTGCTTTCGGACGGATGTTGATGGCTGACGGAGAGCTATGATGGCTCTATGAGAGTAATTTCCTTAACACAACTGCTGGGTTGGAAGTAACATGTGTAAACCTTTGAGTCTATAAAATAGATGAGAGTGTGATAAGTGCAGGATGACAGACAGTACGAAAACCAGGGCGCATCGTAGCCGCACGGCATTGTCTGCTTCGTCGGCGCTTTTATGCCAAACCGTGTGTTGTTAAAAGTGGAGGGATGTCATGCTTTACTTTACGAAGACTGTTGACATGCCTATACAGCAGTTTGCCGTTTGGCTAGACGTTTTCGCCGTTAGTTTATCCTCACGTGAAAGTGTGGTACACTGGTTGTGATGGCTAAGGAAGTTGCCCCAAGCAGTGCCCCTTAACCCGTTTGGATTCACTTTTATTGTTCAAAGTGCACTGCAAGTGGCTGGCAGTACTAGTGGAGAGAAAAGGTACTCAGGTGACCAAGGTCTTCAGTAAGCTACCACTTAAGTGATATTTTGCTACTATGTGAAAAACGGTGTGCGATTTCTACTGTTCATGGAACTTATTATCCTACTGCGATTCCCTTAGTAATAGGACAACTAAACTGTCTATCCTCCTAATGAAGAAAGACCAACTCATGAGTGACAAATCACACTAAGTTTACCAGTTCACCCGTAGCCCGATAGTGCAATGATCTCTAGAGCATGTGCCAAAATTGGCACAGTAACAAATGGTAAGCTGATAGCCACACGATTTATCTCTATAAAAGCATTTACTCGCTTGGTCAAACTAGGCTTCCATTATCTTACTTGGACATGATAGCGTCTGTTTTCGGCGTTTTACTGAAGCAGTTGTGATCAGGATGATAAAGATTATAAATCACAACGGTTCACTATTCTCCACCATGGACTAGTGACATAAGCTGCTGACCAGTGAATACGGAATACTGAATACTGTATGTGGGAGCAAGTAGAAATATAAATCTGTGCATCTGCATCGTAATATAATAAAAAAAGTTATGAAATGTGTCTGCACTCCGTGACAATCGAATCGTTCGGCAAGTTCTTATGTAGCACTTTAGCATATCTGACTTACAGTTTCACAGGTTGCACAAATGAAGATGTCCTTGCCAATGTGCAATCGTTCTCTGAATCGAATGGGACTGAAATGGAAATTCCAATGACATTTTGAACTGTTGTACAGATTTAGCCTCCACGACTTGTTCTGGCAGACTGTTCCAAACATTTACCACTCTCCGTTCGAAGCACAGGGGGTGGGGTAATCGTTTTATATCCGGCACCACAAGCTTGTACCGGTGTCCGCGTGTGTTGCATGGGGTTCGCAAACGAAGCAGTGGCTTCAACATGGGAAAGGCACCGAGATGTAATATACGGTAGGTCATGATCAGATAGACTCGCATCTGACGATATGGAAAGTGCAGAGTCCGAGTTTATCGTACCGGTCTTCGTACGGTACTTCTAGTAAAATGGAATGAGCTTGGTAGCGACGTTTTGGACCCTTTCGATCTTCTGTGCCTCGCCTCGGGTGATTGGGTTGTAGCCAGATGTGCTGTACTCCAACATTAGTCTTAAGATGGTAGAGAAGAGGCGTGGCGACCTCTTCAGACCAAGTACAGAAGCTGCGTTTGATCGCCTAAAGCATGCGTAGTACGTTGGGATATAATCTGTTCCTTTTATCAACAGACTACAAATCGCTCGCGAGAGTACACCTAGGTCCTTCACGGAGGGTGTGAGATGTAGCGGTTGGCCGTCAGTGGTGTAAATTCGGCCACCGGCCCACCCTTCCCCAGGCTTATAAATACTGCTTTTAATGGGTTGACCGGCAGGCGGAGTTCCGCAGACCACATGGAGAGGTGGTTGAGGTCGTGCTGAAGTAGGCTGCAGTCGTCTGGAGTGCTAATTTCTCTCCAACTCTTCAGGTCGTCCGGAAACAAAACACGGCGACCGAAGTAGCTGAGGTGAATCGTGCTGCAAGTCGATAGTGGCCATTAGATCAGATCCTGAAGGAACTGAAGGATGCGCACACCCGAGGATTGCAAAAAGGACCAAACGGTCATCTAATCCCCCTGCGGGTAGCTGGAAAACTATCGTACTGCGAATAACCCGCAACTAATTGCATCGTGTGTGCCTAGGAAACTGTTGTTTGGCAGCGTTAGGTTGACATTGATACGGAACAAATAATATTTCACCTGTCTCCATCGTAAACACCCTTTGTAGCCATATACATGGAAATGTCTGTATAACGAACATCGAAATGATGAAATGTTTAACATATCGTAAGTGTTAATGGCACTTCCCCTTTTCACATTTGTTTGCGTAACGTAGCGTACAGGAGGAAATCAGTGTTAAAAAGTTAAGCTTACAATATGGTGTATCGGTACAGGGAAAATTTGTGATACGGAACAAGTACGGAAAATCTGTTGTATATCGAGTTCATCCACTGAATTAGTTCTGTATAACGAAAATTCATTATCACGAACTGAGTTCTGAGGTCTCCGAAATTTCGTTATACTGGTAGCTCAATGTATATGTTTTCCAGTTATTGCTTTCGGCACCGATAAAACGATACAAAATGCTAGCACCTACAATTTTTCTTTTCCTCATCACGTTAGTTAAATTGTCATCATGGACCACGATGTAAGTTAAATAACAAGTGGACCGATAAACATACCGAAGTGTAGGGGGATCTCCAACTCCTGCTGTCTGGCTTTTTTGAGCCTTTTGAATCAGCTGGAGAAAAATTCAACAAAGTCCGACAATATACCTGATGTGTCCATCTGTGAGGTTATTGGAGAGGTCGTCAGTAAGTGGCTATCCTCCGATAAGGGTCAAATGTTGTGAGGTGACCTACAAAGTAGAAGATCAACTTGTAGCCTACGTTTGACAGTTTCCGACCAAAAGAGAGAAATTAAATCCGCTTTGTGCCAGATTAAATGAGTAGGACAAAGGCTGTATAACTCTTAAGGTCAAAGGATAACTTTAATCCGAATGCGTCTCGTTCTGCACCATCTCCCGGCGCCGTGCATAAACAAGAAGTAATCTGATAAACAATGTCGCGACTAGCTGGCGGCCAGTAACCAAGGTTAAGGCGCCCTCATATCTTCTCGTGAATGCAAAAATGAGTAAGAACTGATAGGTGCTGGGTAAGACGATAACATCGCGCATGTTAATAGTGAGCGGAAATCGAATTGCGTGTGAAAAGCAGACACTAATGCACATTATCCTAGCCAATTTCAAATTCTTATTCTGTAGTTAAATAAGCAAAGTAATGGTATATTTCTCAACACGGCGAGACACAGACCGATTAGGTGGTTTAACCATTCTGCACAACATAAAAGCATAATAGAAAAAGTTGTTCGAGTTTTTCAATGTAGTTCTCCAAGTAGTCTCTGGGGGTGTTGTTCGGCTAGAAGTTATAAACAGGCGGAGAGGTCAAGAGGAAGAATGAATGTACAAGGTGTTAAGAGGAAATGCGCCAAGCGAACCACCGAGGCGCCTATCGCCGTTACGGAGCAAAGACACGGCAGGCGGCCAAACACAACCGCACAGATTGGGGCGAACAGATAGCCAACCGGAAGCAGTGGCCAATTAACACGAGGGTGGCGTTACTTGATTGGCCGTAAGTCGACCCTTCTGAAGCTTTCCAAGTGAGCTTTAAATACTATTCATGAACTTTCGTTCCCCTGCTCGTCAGATCCGGTCTTCTCTCTGTCCTGTGGGGGCCCAGCGACCTCGAATTCCGATTGAGAATCAAGCGTCAATTTAGGCGAGGAACGAACACTTCACAAGGTGCATTTGAAACGTCCTATGAATGGTTTCGTATGTTAGGAACAAAGCTGTTTAGCACAATGGGCACACGCATATGTATTGAGAGAGATGTCAACAACCCCCCTATCGTGCAAATCACCAAACTGGAGCACGTCACAACCAAGCTAACGGCGTTAGTGTGAGAACTCGGGTCATTGCAAAATGGGGCGAAAAATGAAGCAACCAGTTAACACAAAGTTTTGTTTCAAATTGGGAAAAATGGTGACGGAAACTCATGGAATCTTAATGTAAGTGGACGGTGTTGAAGCAGCAAGACTGTGTGTCCGAAAGGTTTAAACGCTGAACGACCGCCAGCAAACGCAATTCCAGATAACATGGAACGAGGGCTACGGCTGCTTGCGGATGATCCGCGGCTACCTTTGCGAATGATAGCAGAATAGTTGAAAATAAACAGAGACATTGTAAGCAGTATTGTTTATGAAATGGATGCAGCGACGCATCCGACGGGTTCGGCTAGAACTGCACTGGCGTAGACAGTGAAATTTCCTCCACAACAACTCCAGTGCTCGCAATGCGATCCGCATGATCAAGTTTTTCGCTCAATGCAAGGTGACTGTACTTCAACGCCGTTCTTATTCGACACTGGTAGACTTCTTGTTGTTTCCCTGCCTCAAATTAGTCCAGAAAAGTTTGCGCTTCACAGACATTGTGGATACCCAAAAATGTGTGATCACGTTACTTGGAGCGATTCCACAACAGCTTTACAACCAAAATCAGACGTGTGTTGGAGATAATGTTGATTACTCTGTAGGTCAATAAAGGTACTCTGTTAGCAACCCTTGTTTCCTTTATTTTCTCAGACCATGCACCAAATTTTCCAGACGCATCTTGTAGGTATAGCCCCTAGTTCAAGTAAAGTAATATGATCATCCGTGGAACTGTCTGCTGGGGACATGCTTCCATGCGAAGTAGTCTTTTAAAAGATTTCCTCCACACTTCCACACCTCATCTGGCCATGTGCTGATGTGGTTTGAAAGCAAGTAAGCCACCATCATGTTGACTCATTTTCTATGGCCGCTGTTATAGGCAAATAGGCCATCATCATCATGTCAAGCAACTGCTTTTTTACCTGTTATAAACCATTGTTCATCATCATGGTGACTCGCTTTGTAGGGCCGCTGTTACATGCTAAGCACTCCCTCCACACAGGCAATTGCACCTTTCAGCTCATTGGAGTCACGCACGTTTAATATTCGCTAATGAGTCTCTGAGGATTCGCTCTCGTGGGTGTACTAGTCAGCTTAGAAGCTTTAATCCGTCAACTCAGGAGATCGGACCAGTCATGGACAACAGCAGAAGATAGAAAATTAAGAAATGGGATGAAAAAATAATAATAGCCAATAACTTGCTTAGGTCCGACGGCTGTCAGATTCAAATTAAACATAAGGACCACAGAAAACAAATAATCACCCAAAGTGTTGATAAAAAGAGGTCACAAAAGATTATTGAGATAGACCCGACAGCTGCAGACGATCGAAAAGGGAAGAGATCGATGCCCCAAATTCATTTTGTAAGGAGCTGAAAACTGCTACAGGTACCCAAACCGTTGCCTCCAGCGAAGCAAAGAAAACAGTTATCAGCGTAGAACAAGTGTAAAGAAGACGGAGAGAAAAACCGTTAAGACAAATGTCCACCTTGGGCAGATTGAACGTGGAGCTACGCGGATTTTGGCTCAAATCCGTGTAAAACCGTCACCTAGTTACTGTTGAGATGCGAAACAAAAGCAAATAAACGTAGATGCAAAAATGGATCTGACGGGGCGACAAGTATGTTGCGTGCTCTTTTGAATATTTCCTGGGCATTGAAAACCTAGCTCCTCGGTTTTTATCTGTCGCACCAACAGTCTAGCTACATTTGTCAAGAGGAGAAACTGATTTAGCTCAGTTTTGAACTGGTTGGCTTGCTCTGTGAGCATAGCAATCAGTTCCAGCTAACAGAGTATGGTACTACGAAATTCGCACGCATTTGTGACGCGAAGTTCTGCCGAGGGAGAATATATATTTTGTTCCTTACGTTGTATTCCTCATCGTCACTAAACTTCAACTGATTCATTGGGCTGAAGCTAAAATTGCCCATTAGTTTTTGAAAGAAAAGTAACCTCATTTTTTGTCTTCGTAGCCATAGATAACCGAAGTTCAGCAACTTACATATATCGTGACATGTTGCGAACGACGATAAACCTAGAAGACTTTTAAAAGACTTTTCAGTGAATGACCGTTGTAAACGCTTCAGAGTATTAGGTCGCTCTTGCCGATGTGGTTGTATGTGATTGGATAGTACTTCAAAAGTAGGCGTACGCAAGTCAAATAAAGATCAAGCTTGGTCTTTGGTAAGATTGTTGAATTGTTGTTTAGACCGGTATCCTAACGGTAACAAGCTTGCTATGCAATCTGTGGGCGCGGGTTCGAGCCTGTGTTGAGACAGTGCGACTCTTGCAGTATCCTTAACCCACACGTAACTGGTGGTGGTTGCGCCGTCGATATTGTGTACCGCCGTAATGCAGATGTCTTTTTTAAACCCAAAGCGTACCTCACCACTGATAACTCTTGTTGAGCATGAGTTGAGAAGTTTAGTAAGTCATTATAGCGTATTCACCTCTCATGAACGAACTGAGTGGTATGGATTGGATCCACTTTTAGATCTAGCCTGCTTGATCGGGTGCTACATCTGTGACAGAAGACTCGGGACTTGTCAAGAAAAATTTACTTGACTGTCCATGTGACCAGAGCACAAAGAACTTCACGTCTGTTTGAGTGGTTTGCATAATTATCTGATGTTCTGGTGGAAATGCTTAGAGACTTTTTAAATCATCCGCACAAAGAAACAGATTTTCAAATCCATTTTTCTCGGGGATTTCGTTAACATAGACGTAGAACACAGCGAGAGAAAGGACGTTGTCTTGCCGAACTCCACTCGTGGTTGTGACTGCAGATTATCTAGTTAGACGGTGTGTTTGCGCTCTTCCAATAACGAGGTGAACAAAACCCCAGTCGCAAACACCGAATAACTTAGCTTTCAACAAAACCCGCTTTTGTGGTACACAGTAGAACTTTTTGTGTATATCGATGAAGATCATCAATACTGGTTTTTAACATCTACAGTCAAACCTGTCTAAGACGATCACTCAAGGGACCGACAAAAATTGGTCCCCTTGGACAGGTGAACGCCATGGAGAGGTTCATGCATAGGGACATTACTCAGAGAAAACTTTGGGGATGCTTTTGGCTGGTCGACACGGACAAGTGGTCGCCATAGCAGGTTGGACTGTATAACCGAAGTGAGGCATTCAATGAAATCTATTTGGCAGGCGTTATATGTGCGACTATTTCATAAAAACGAGTTGTTGTTCACTTAGGAATTTGTGTGTCAGAAGATATTCAAGGAGTAACATTTTGGTTATTTACTCAAACACCCTATGATGGAAGTGTTAACATGTTAACAAGCAAAACAAGGATGTTTTCGCCGCGATACGTGAGTATAATTGGCGGAATCCAGTCTTGCCCCGCAAGAGTATAGGACCAAACTGATTTTAAGACGGATTTAACATCTGGTAGTGCCATGGTTACCGCAGACAGTATGTAGTCTGTGCTATCTGTTTGGTTGACATGAGTAAGATCAGGATCGTTAATGAGTGAAGAATCGAAATATTCACTGGGCTTTTCACATATGCAGAGCGGATTGGTGATATCGACGTCATTGTGCCGGATGGGCATGGGGAGTCCATCGATGCGCCTATGGTTCCTTGATTGTAGCAATCGCGCGAGCGCAGGTATTTTGCGGGTATTGGAAATTGTCAGACGCTCTTAGGTTAAAGGTCGCAACCTGCTTTCAGTGGCGAACTTATTACAAAGGTTGGTAATACGCATAATGATGAAGAAGTCACTAGTCGCGTTAAACCTAACTCTAAGCTTGCGCAGCTTGAGACCTACTCCTGGTGATAGTTCGCTGGCGGCACTGCCCGATGGGGTTCACATCCGCTTGACAAGCGCGAGTATGTCTATACAGGTTAGAAAGTGTGTT